CCCCCACTATCAATCTTTAGATTCTTTAAATTCATATTTCTACGAGGGTATATTGAGGACACGCTAAATTTTTTTTTTTGATACAAGAAAAAAAATTATCTTGTGAAAAGGAGATAATTACATTGTGAAAACGAGATATTATCTTGTGAAATAAGGATTTGGAAATAACGAACAGTATTCAATCTCAACGTCCATTAAACAAATATACAAAACAAGAGCAGAGCAAACACGGACCTCCGGAACATCAGAGGTGGGATCAGGTGCCATGGAGGAGTGAGCATCCCCTGCTGACCGGTCACACCCGCCGTGTGCTCATTGTCATAATCAGGAAATAACGGAAAAAATCCGTAGTCAATTCAGTGTATAAATAATGGACTAACAATTGGTATGAAAAACGTCAGTCAGCATTTCATTCAATGATAAATCGTATTTGCTGACAAGGTCATTGTATCGACCATAGAATTTACGAAATGATGACTTTAAACGAGACTGTTGATATTCTTGTTTCATCAACTTGCTTGTCAATAATTTACCTCGTTTAAGAAATTGTTCATACGTAGAGCATGCTCTTGCGTATCGAATCAACTGAGATATAAATACTCCGTATGCAGGTGATGAAGGTATATTGCTGCATAAGTAAGGGAAGTTGACGATAGAAAAGTTAAAGTCATCACGTTTATCATATAGCTTGGTTGTTAGATTACCATTTGTGTCTTTTTCAAGTAAAATATCCAAGTATGAAGCAGATGTGTTGGACTCTGTGGTATCTTTTATCTCAAGCTCACCAGGATATATCGTGTCGACGTAGGAATGGAAATTATCATTATTAATTGACAATACGTCGTCGATATATCTAAATGTCGAGTTGAAAGCCACAGCAAGTGTTTTTTTTCTTTTCACGCAAAAGATTTTGCATAAATTCTGCTTCATATGAATATAAAAATAAGTCTGCTAATAACAGAGCGCAATTTGTACCAATGGAAATTCCAATAGATTGTTGGAATACCTGGTCTCCAAAAACCACATAGATATTGTCAATCAGAAACTCAAGCATCTTCTTGATGTCAACTTCAGAGTACTTATGTGTACAATCAGAATCTGTTTTAACAAAATAATTTTTCAAATGACCAATGACGAGGTAAGTAAACTTACGAGTTCCATTTTTGTTGAAGAAGCAGCTGTCAATGATATCAAAAAGCCTGGATTTTAATTTGTCGTGCGGAATTGTTGTGTATAAAGTTGAAAAGTCGTAAGTTTTTATGCTGTTGATTTTTGTAAAGTCTTGTGATTTCAAATTGTCCAAAAGTTCTTTAGAATTTTTAAGTATCCACATCTGATTTACACCACTTCTTGAATATATAGTTGCACAGTACTCTTGAAGTTTTTCCTTCACTACTGTCAATATTTTAGTGAGAAGTAACGAAAGAGGCTTAGTTGAACATTTACTGGAACCTGCAATGTATCTTTGTTTGTAAGGATTCTTATGAAGTTTCGGAATCCAGTATATATATAAGGTAGTTCAAATTCATTTTGGCTCTGTGGAATATTAAAAGTATTCAAAACTGACAGGTGATTTTGAAGGATTTCTTCCTTAGAAAGAGTAGTATATGTATAAGTAGGATTACCACTCGTAGAATTAAATCCAAGTTCTTCTAAAATGCAATTAATATAATGAGCCTTACAAACGAAGACAATGTTGTTACCTGCTTTGTCGGCAGGAACCAGTACGTACTGATCGTGTAATCTATCTAATTCTTTTTTCACTTCTGGTTTATTGAACACAGAAGGATAGATGGTTTTCATTTTGCCCCTCAATCTTTTAATACGTGACTTTAACATGGATCTGATACATTTAATCCATTCTGACAAGGTGTCAATGTCTTCTTTTTCATATCTAGCCCATCGTCTGGCGTAATTTTCAACAGAATCCATAATATTTATGAAATTCTGACGCCAGTTGAAGGATCGGGGTTCCCTATATTTAGGACCTTTTAAAATAAGTGATTTAACGTCCTCATTTCGAACTATATTTACGTCACCTGTAATAACGTGTCCAGCAGGACTATAGTTATAGGGCGAAGAAGAACATGAACACGAAAGGGGATTATTTTTCAGAAAGTCGATATCCAGGCCATGTAAAGTATTTTTGTAATTGAAAAGTTTGGAAGCAATGGTCGATGTATATTTGTAGGAAATACAAGGCGTAGTCTTTAACTTGAAATATGGTGGAATATAAGACTGGACCCTTTTGTGATTAAGAATATTACTAATATTTACCGCGTCAATTCCTTTATTGGCATATTGAAGTTTAAGGAAAAGACGGATTGTTTTAGCTGCATTTTCTTCCGTGAAACGTGCGGGTTTAAAAAGCCTATGATGTGCAATATCCATAATCACAGAACTGAGCCTATATTCAGGTGTCGAGGAATCTAAATTTGGATGTTCCTTGGTCTTTTCAAGAAGACTATTTAAAAGTTTCAAAGGGACAGAGTAAAGTTTGGTTCGAATATGATGTAGACCTAACTGTTGATTTACATAAGGTAGTAATGAATCAAAAGAGACGTCGTGTATTGCAGGTTTATTGTACGAACGATGTCCATGACTATGCTTACGTCTCTGAGTATTGTTAAAAAGTCCCATCACATTTACATTATAACAATGTGGGCTTGTTAGATTTCCTACACTATCGACGTTGTCATTACATCCATAGGGAAAGGCTGTCCCTAGTTTCCTAATCCAAACTTCTTCACGTTGTCTACGGAAAGGTGTACTCAAAGATGGACTATTTGTGTGGTGATAAATCTTTTCTAGAATTCTAACTTTCATTGATAAAATAGAATGATCAGGTGAATTAAAATGTTTATATAAAAGCTGCTGACCACCATGATTTATTTGAAATCGATGACCTGATATTCTTTTGTTAAGCGAAAACAAGATAATATCTTGTGAAAACGACATAATATCTTGTGAAAACGAGATATCATCTTGTGAAAACGAGATATCATCTTGTGAAAACGAGATATCATCTTGTGAAAACGAGATAATATCTTGTGAAAACGAGATATCGTCTTGTGAAAACAACATAATATCTTGTGAAAACGAGATATAATCTTGTGAAAACGACATAATATCTTGTGAAAACGAGATATTATCTTGTGAAAACGACATAATATCTTGTGAAATGAGATATTATCTTGTGAAAATGAGATATTATCTTGTGAAAACGAGATATTATCTTGTGAAAACGAGATAATATCTTGTGAAAACGACATAATATCTTATGAAAACGACATAATATCTTGTGAAAAAAACCTCATTCAAGGAGAGATAATTGGGAATTAAGAAAAATTTGATGGGATGTTTTAAAAATCTTCTTCTTAGGAACCATTGTGCCAGGAAAGATGAATCTTATGGGAAAACATCCTTAGGTAGTTTATATTCAAGTTTGTTCAAATCATGACCCCGGAGGTAGGGCGGGGCCAAAATGGCCGACCAACGTTTTACATAGAAATATATAGGAAAATTCTTTAAAAATCTTCTTCTCAAGAATGACAAAGCCATAATTCATCATATTTTTATGGAAGCATCCTCAGGTAGTGTAGATTACATTTAAAGTCATGACCCCTGGGGGTAGGGAAGGGTCTCAATGGTTGACCAAAGTTTTACATAGAAATATATAGGAATTTTTAAAAAAAATCTTCTGAAGAATAGCAAAGCCATAATTGATCATATTCATATGGAAACATCCACAGTTTGTGCAGATTCATGTTTGTTCAAATCATGACCCCTGGGGGTAGCAAAGGGCAACAATGGCCAACCAAAGTTTTACATAGAAATTTATAGGAAAATTCTCATCTTCTTAAGAATAGCAAAGCCATGACTGGTCATGGGACTACTTTGGGATTTAAACTTTTCAATCATAATAAACCAATTTGTATTTTTTCCTAGCCATAGTACTCAGGTAAGCGATGTGGCTCATGGGCCTCTTTTTTAATATTACGGGTTGGTATATTTTAAGGTAAGTCACTCCTCAAGTTTGTTATATCAAGGATTTTTTGAGAAGTATATTTTTGATAAGTACTCATAAAGTGTAATTCAAAATCACAAAGAAAAAAGGGGGTCGAAGGCATTTTGTGCGTCCGTACTGATCTACGGTACATTTTTCACCTTTTTGCACTTAAAATTCATATCTTTGGTTAATTACTTTAACCCTTATTATATTTGATAAGATGTAAGCAAGGCAATAAATATAATCATATTTTCCGTAAAATAGTTTGAATAATATTTAACATTGAATAAATCTTGCAAATTAATGTGTGTAAATTATTGTTTGACCTTTTTGTACTAAAAAATAACATATTTGGGGTATTCAAAAACTTCATAGGCAATAAAATTTTTCTTATATCAAGCTTTTGACGACTTGAGTGCTGATCAGTCACAAGTATCGAGTAGTTTAAAATAATGAAAGAAAAAAGTATGGTCAGTGATGTTAATTTTGAAATATTTGTCAAAATATGTGATTTTCAGGCTAAAAATGGTGTAAATTTGACCTTGACTTTTTTCAAGCCATTTTCATTTTTTGGGAAAGTTTGTTAGTAAAGGTGTAAAACTTAATATAAAAATATAAATTAAGACCTATATTAAATATTTTTAGCAATATCAAAACAGAAAATATTCTCCAAGTAAAAGTATGTGAGGCTAAAGTTCCAAGATATTAAATTGAATAAATGTGCAGATTTGCAGAATTTTCTGCTAAATATCCTTCCACAACAAGAAATAGTCCCTCATAAATTTTGCTTCTTTGTCGATTTTTGAGCAGTTTTTTCATTGAATGTTTAAAAATTTACTGCTTGTTGAATATAAATATATCATAAAAATTGAATTTTGTTTAAGTAGTTTTGAAGTATTTTAAAGCTTCTGCGCTAATTTTTAATCTAAAATATATGATACAATAACATTAGTCTTTCAAGACATTGAAGCTATACAGAAATATTTATTCTATTGTTGACAGGTCTCCCAGGATGTGCTGTTGAAGTATATAAAGCTAAAGAAGAGGAACAAATTACCATTTTGACAGGTTTAACTAATGCCTAAATTTAGTTTTTTAGCTCACCTGAACCGAAGGCTCAAGTGAGCTTTTCTGATCACATTTTGTCTGGCGTCGGTCTGTCTGTTAACTTTTCACATTTTTGACTTCTTCTGAAGAACCACTGGGCTAATTTCAACCAAACTTGGCACACAGTATCCTTGGATGAAGGGGATTCAAATTTGTTCAAATGAAAGGCCAAGCCCTCTTCCAAGGGGAGATAATTATGAATAAGCGAAAAATTAATTGCATCTTTTAAAAATCTTCTTCGCCAAAACCCTTGGGCCAGGAAAGATGAAACTCATGTTGAAGCATCCTCATGTAGAGTAGATTCAAGTTTGTTCAAATGATGACCCCAGGGGGTAGGGCAAGGCCACAATTGACGATTAAAGGTTTACATAGGAATAAATACATTGGAAAATCAAATTTTTTAAAACTCTCCATTTTAAGAACAATAAAGCCATGATTGGTCATGTCTTTATGTAAGCATCCTTACTTAGTGTTGATTCAAGTTTGTTTAAGTCATTTATGTGAAGTAGGGGGTAGGTAGGGTGGGCCACAATTGGAAATTAATAAGTATCAAGGAATTTTTTTTCCAAAGAACAGAAATGCAATGTTTAATCATATAGATATGGAGGCATCCTCAGATAGTACAAAGTCATACTGGTTCAAATGAAGGCTACCACGGATAGGGCTGTGCCACAATGGGAGGTGGGGTTCAAATGAATAAATAGGGAAAAATCATCTGCTCAAAAACAGTTAGGCATTTGTTGTATGGAAGCATCATTGGGTATTTGGTAGTTTAAAATTTCCGATCCCCCCGTCTCAACTACTCAATACTGAAGTGATTTCTTCTTTTATTTCCTAGCCATAGGTCTCAGGTGAGCGATGTGGCCCATGGGTCTTTTGTTTAATATTAGGGGTTGGTATTTTAAAGACTTGACAAAATTCAGGTCTACATTTCCATGAATAATCTAAAATATATCATACAATAACATTAGTCTTGTAAGACATTGAAGCTATACAGAAATATTTACTCATTGTACTGTGTTGATTCTGACAGGTCTCCCAGGATGTGCTGTTGAAGTATGTAAAGCTAAAGAAGTGGAAGAAGTCACCATTTTGACAGGTTTAACTAATGCCTAAATTTAGTTTTTTAGCTCACCTGAGCGGAAGGCTCAAGTGAGCTTTTCTGATCACATTTGTCCGGTGTCGGTCTGTCTGTAAACTTTTCACATTTTCGTTCTCATTGACAAGAACAACTGGGCGAATTTCAACCAAACTTGCTACAAAGCAAGTTTGTTTAGCTCACCTGAGCCAAAGGCCTAAGAGAGCTTTTCTGATCACATGTTGTCCTGCGTCTGTCTGTCTGTAAACTTTTCACATTTTTGTTCTCATTGACAAGAACAACTGGGCGAATTTCAACCAAACTTGCTACAAAGCATCCTTGGGTAAAGGGGATTTGAGTCTCTTCAAATGAAGGGCCATGCCCTCATTCAAGGGACATAATTGGGAATTAAGGAAAATTTGGTGGGATATGTTTTAAAAATCTTTTTCGCCAAAACCCTTGGGCCAGGAAAGATGAAACTTATGGGGAAACATCCTTAGGTAGTGTAGATTCAAATTTGTTCAAATCATGACCCCCGGAGGTAGGGCGGGGCCAAAATGGCCGACCAAAGTTTTACATAGAAATATATAAGAAAATTCTTTAAAAATCTCCTTCCCAAGAATGACAAAGCCATAATTCATCATATTTATATGGAAGCATCCTCAGGTAGTGTAGATTCAAAATTCTTCAAATCATGACCCCCGGGGGTAGGGAAGGGCCACAATGGTCGACCAAAGTTTTACATAGAAATATATAGGAAAATTCTCATCTTCTCAAGAATAGCAAAGCCATGACTGGTCATGAGACTACTTTGGAATTTAAACTTTTCAATAATAAACCAATTTGTATTTTTTTCCTAGCCATAGTGCTCAGATGAGTGATGTGGCCCATGGGCCTCTTGTTTAATATTACTGGTTGGTATTTTAAAGACTTGACAAAATTCAGGTCTACATTTCCATGAATAATCTAAAATATATCATACAATAACATTAGTCTTTTAAGACATTGAAGCTATACAGAAATATTTACTCATTGTACTGTGTTGATTTTGACAGGTCTCCCAGGATGTGCTGTTGAAGTATATGTAAAGCTAAAGAAGAGGAAGAAATCACCATTTTGACAGGTTTGACTAATGCCTAAATTTAGTTTGTTTAGCTCACCTGAGCCAAAGGCCTAAGAGAGCTTTTCTGATCACATGTTGTCCTGCGTCTGTCTGTCTGTAAACTTTTCACATTTTCGACTTCTTCACAAGAACCACTTAGCCAATTTTAACCAAACTTGGCACACAGTATCCTTGGATGAAGGGTATTCAAATTTGTTCAAATAAAAGGCCTAGCCCTCTTCCAAGGGGAGATAATTATGAATTAGCTTTTTTATCTTTTAAAAATCTTCTTTTCGAAAACCATTGGGCCAGGAAAGATGAAACTCATGTTAAAGCATCCTCATGTAGTGTAGATTTAAGTTCGTTGAAATCATGACCCCCCGGGGGTAGGGCGGGGCCACAATGGCTGTCAGATCAAAGTTTTACATAGGAATATATAGGAAAAATCTTTGAAAATCTTCCTCTCCAGTACTACTGGGCCAGGAAAGATGAAGCTCAAGTGGAAGCATCCTCAGGTAGTGTAGATTCAAGTTTTTTCAAATCATGACCCCAAGGGGTAGGGCGAGGCCACAATTGACGATTAAAGTTTACATAGGAATGAATACATTGGAAAATCAGTTTTTTTTAAACTCTTCTTTTTAAGAACTATAAAGCCATGATTGGTCATATCTTTATGTAAGCATCCTTACGTAGTGTTGATTCAAGTCATGAATGTGAAGTAGGGGGTAGGTAGGGTGGGCCACTATTGGAAATCTATAAATATCAAGGAATTTTTTTTCCCAAGAACAGAAAAGTAATGTTTAATCATATAGATACGGAAGCATCCTCAGGTAGTACAAAGTCATACTGGTTCAAATGAGGGCTACCATGGTTAGGGCTGGGCCACAATGGGAGGGGGGGGGGTCAAATGAATAAATAGGGAAAAATCATCTGCTCAAAAACAGTAAAGGCATTTGTTGTATGGAAGCATCATCGGGTATTTGGTAGTTTAAAATTTCTGAACATCCCCTTCCTCCCCCCCCCCCGCGCATCTAAACTACTCAATACTGAAGTGATTTCGGCTTTTATTTCGTATCCAGTGTGCACAGGTAAGCAATGTCTCCCATGGGCCTCTTGTTATAACTGAGTAAAAATATACAGTAATGATAACTATCTATAGTCTCATAGTTCCCGTAGAACTTTCCTATCTAACACTTTGTTGTAATAACTATGAATTAGTAATGGTAAGAATGCAGATTTTATCATGATTTTTCTTCTGTAGAGACTGAATTGTAAATACAATGTTATAGAATGTCAGGTTTTAAATGATTTCATGTTAACATCTATAAGAACCTGAACAGTATGTCACAATTTATATGTGTATTAATTATAACTATTGCTTTGTTAGACAGGTTTAATTGAGAACACTTGGAGGCTGCTATGAATGAAGACAAAGCATTGAGAAGCCAGTGTCAAGGTATTTATGTTTATCTGGTAATTCTATTTAATTGTTTAACACGGTATAAGTTCTTAAAACCAAAACATTTTACAATGAGTACATTTGTTATTTATAAACAGTGTGTTCCTGATGTAGATAATTCTAGAACAATGTTGTAATTTACAGAGAGATCTCCCTGACTGAAATCAACACAGGATTATAAAGTCACAGGAAATTAAAGTCTGGTGTGATGTATACAGCAGTATTACATAAATCTGTCACAGTGAGAGGTGTTAGTCAGTGTAAACACATTACCCACGTGACATCAGACCGGGTCTGGATCAGTGATAAAGAAGGCAATCTCATCTTAACTAACACGAGAGGTGACATTCTAGATAGTGTGACGGATTTAGCTAGATATGGTTATGGAGTACATACTGTGACTCAAAATGGTGATGTGATTTATATAGACAGTGACTTTAACATCATAAAACGATCTAAAGATAAAGTAAAGACCACAGTGATACCATACAACACATCACCATGGGATCCACACTGTGTCTACAGCTCCCCCTCCACTGGAGACCTGCTGGTCGGGATACGTAATGATGATACAAAGACAGGCCAGGTAAACCGTTACACTAACACAGGACAACACATACAGACCATACAGCACGACAACACAGGTCAGGGACTGTATAAATATCCTAACTACATCACAGAGAACCGCAATGGAGATGTTATTGTGTCTGACTCTGGCCGTTATGCTGTAGTGGTGACAGACAGTAGAGGGAGACATCGCTTCTCCTACACAGGTACTCCATCAGGATCAGGACTATCACCACAAGGAATCTGTACTGACGCGCTGTCACACATCCTGGTGTCTGATTCTAGAACCCAGACAGTACATATCATTGATAAAGACGGTAACTACCTGACAGAGTTAGATACAGTACAACACGGGATAGACAGACCATGGAGCCTGAGTTATGATGACATCACCCGCTCTGTCTGGGTAGGATCATGGGACAACAACACAGTGAACATCTACAGACTTATCTATGGAGGGGATAATCTGACTGGTAAGTTATACTGAAGTGTAATGTTTGTTTACAATGTTAAGTGTGTACAATATATTATAGTCTTTGTTTTGTGTGTATATAATTACAAGACATTAACCAGGAATTATCATAGTGATATCTTTTAAGTGTAAATACATTACATGGCTAATTGAATTCTAACTTGTGTTATGTAACAAGAAATGTTTTTAAAAAAAGGATATTAATAGATAAGTTGTCAAATTAATAATGATTTGATTTTCATATTAGATTTTATAAGACATGTTAGAGTTATTTTAATGTGTACTTAGTTGTTAACTTTGTTGTCTTTGACAAACAATTCCTGAATTTGTACAGTTTGTCTAACATTATGTCTAATGATTGTAAACATGGTTAAATAACTCTCACTGATTTTGTCTTCTGTTTGGGTTAACATTATATTTTTATATTCCTCTGCTAAATGGTTTGTAGGTTAAATTCATAGATCACTACAAATGTCAGGAAATGGAAAAATAATTGTACAATTGGGTTCATGAGTGTTGGAGGGGGGGGGGGGTAATGTCATAGACCTTATCATTAGATAATATATACTTTGAATACGTCATTCAATGTGTTAAAACAAAGTTTAATCACAGTGACTGCAAACATTTTGTACAGTACAGACAATTAGATATAGACACCATTGATGATGTTGATATGAACACAGCTCTGTCTAGGAATGTTGTGTATTTCTGTAGCAGGTGTTCAGTAAATCTACACTCTGTACTGGGATGACAAATTTTCATGTATATTACATGGAGATTTTATGGTTAAAATGAAACCAATGCCAGAATTATAGAGTCATATCAGTGTACCCCCCCTCCTACCCTCAACTTCACCACACACACACACCCTCTCACCCTCTCCCTTCCTCACACACACACACACACACACAATTTTTGGGGGTAGGTTTGGGTGGGAAGGAGGTATCACACGGTGTCTCACTTTATTATGCTATTTAATTTTTTTCTTTTAAGTACTGTTTTAGTGAAAAAACCCTTTTTGTTCTGTATTTACACAATGCACTATGTTAAAAAGTGAACAATTCTCAGGAACAAATATGAAAGAAAACAAGCAAATGTGATGTGATGTGGCCCCTAGGCCTCTTGTTAAAACTTCTTAAGGTTGATAAGATGACGCAGTTAGTTTTTAGCTCTCCTGAGCCGAAAGCTCAAGTGAGCTTTTCTGATCACATTTTATCCGGCGTCCGTCTGTCTGTCTGTCCGTCTGTCTGTAAACTTTTCACATTTTCGACTTCTTCTCAAGAACCGCTGGGCCAATTTCAACCAAACTTGCCACAAAGTTCCTTAGGTGAAGGGGATTCAGGTTTGTTCAAATGAAGGGCCACGCCCTCATTCAAGGGGAGATAATTTGGAATTAATGAAAATTTGGTGGCATATTTAAAAAAATCTTCTTCTCAAGAACCACTGTGCCAGGAAAGATGAAACTTATGGGAAAACATCTTCAGGTAGTGTAGATTCAAGTTTGTACAAATCATGACCCCCGGGGGTAGGGCGGGGCCAAGATGGCCGACCAAAGTGTCACATAGAAATATATAGGAAAATTCTTTTAAAATCTTCTTCTAACATTGACAAAGCCATAATTCATCATATTTATATGGAAGCATGCTCATGTAGTGTAGATTCAAGTTTGTTCAAATCATGACCCTTGGGGGTAGGGCGGAGCCAAAATGGTGACCAAAGTTTTACATAGAAATATATAGGAAAATTCTTGAAAAATCTTCTTCTCAAGAATGACAAAGCCATAATTCATCATATTTATATGGAAGCATGTTCAGGAAGTGTAAATTCAAGTTTGTTCCAATCATGACCCCCGGGGATAGTGCGGGGCCAAAATAGCCGACCAAAGTTTTACGTAGAAATTGTATATATAGGAAAATTCTTTTTAAATCTTCTTCTCAAGAATGACTAAGCCATAATTCATCATATTTATATGGAAGCATGCTCATGTAGTGTAGATTCAAGTTTTTTCAAATCATGACCCCCGAGGATAGGGCGGGGCAAAAATGGCCGACAAAGTTTAACATAGATATATAGGAAAAATCTTTAAAAATCTTCTTCTCAAGATTGACAAAGCCATAATTCATCATATTTACATGGAAGCATGCTGAGGTAGTGTAGATTTAAGTTTGTTCAAATCATGACCCCTGGATGTAGGGCGGGGCCAAAATAACTGACCAAAGTTTTACATAGAAATATAGGAAAATTCTTTTAAAATCTTCTTCTCAAGAATGACAAAGCTATAATTCATCATATTTATATGGATGCATGCTGAGGTAGTGTAGATTCAAATTTGTTCAAAACATGACCCCTGGGGATAGGGCAGGGCCAAAATGGCTGACCAAAGTTTTTAAAGATATAAATAGGAAAATTCTTTAAAAATCATTTTCAAATCCATGATTAGTCATGGGAATACTTTTGGATTTAAACTTTACAATCAAAAGCCATTTTTTCTACTTTTTCCTACCTTAGTGCTCTGGGCCTGGGCCTCTTGTTATCTCTACTGAGACCAGAAGAGCTTATGCCATAGTAATGCGTCCGGCGTCCGTCCGTCTGTCCTTCTGTCTGTCTGTAAACAATTTTTCAAAATGCTACTCCTCCTACAGTTTTGGTCTGATTTCAATATAACTTGGCACACAAGCAGACTACACTAAGATCCATATTTCTGTATATCTGTTTTAGATATCGATGAATGGTGTTGCCATGGTTACTAAAAATATAACTTGGCACACAAGCAGACTACACTAAGATCCATATTTCTGTATATCTGTTTTAGATATCGATGAATGGTGTTGCCATGGTTACTAAAAAATAGAAATATAACTTGGCACACAAGTAGATTACATGAAGATACATAATTCCCTTCATCGGTTTTTAATTTTGGTAAATGTTGTTGCCATGGTAACTAAAAATAGAATTTCTGTGAAATTCCTTTAAATGCTACTCCTCCTTCAGTTTTGGTCTGATTTCAATATAACTTGGCACACAAGTAGACTACACTAAGATACATTATTTTGTGTATTGGTTTTTGATTTTGATTAAAAGGTCTTGCCGTGGTAACAAAAAATAGATATTTCTGTGAAATTCCTTTAAAATGCTACTCCTCCTACAGTTTTGGTCTGATTTCAATATAACTTGGCACACACAAAGATACATAATTCTATATATCGGGTTTTGATTTCGATAAAAGGTGTTGCCATGGTAACTTAAAATAGACATTTCCGTGAAATTCTTACAAAATGCTACTCCTCTTACCGTTTTGGTCTGATTTCAATATGACTTGGCACACAAGTAGATTACATTAAGATACATAATTCTATATATTGATTTTTGGTTTTGATAAAATGTGTTGCCATGGTAGCTAAAAATAGACATATCCGTGAAATTTTTACATAATGCTACTCCTCCTAAAGTTTTGGTCTGATTTCAATATAACATGGCACACAAGTAGACTACACTAAGATGTACATAATTCTACATATCAGTTTTTGATTTCGTTGAACGTTGTTGCCATGGTCACTAAAAATAGAAATTTTTGTAAAATTGTTTCAAATTGCTACTCCTCCTAAAGTTTTGGTCTGATTTCAATATAACTTGGCACACAAGTAGACTGCACTAAGATACATAATTCTATAGGCTTTGATTTCAATGAATGGTGTTGCTGTTGTTAAAAGATAGAAATTTCTTTAAAATTGTTTCAAAATGCTACTCAACCTACAGTTATGGTCTGATTTCAATATAACTTGGCACACAAGCAGACTACACTAAGATCCATATTTCTGTATATCTGTTTTAGATATCGATGAATGGTGTTGCCATGGTTACTAAAAATAGAAATGTCTGTAAAATTGTTTCAAAATGCTCCTCCTTCTACAGTTTAGTCTTATTCCGATATAACTTGGCACACAAGTAGACTACACTAAGAACAAAAAGAGATTTTATCAAGGATCATTATTCTATTTATTGCTGTTTTTAAGTTTCAATTCCCAACTGCTTAAGTACTTTTCTCTTCCTTTGCTATAAGTACAAACCAGTAGAGCTTCAGTCTCGACAGAGACTTCTGGTTTATTAGCAGAATAGCTCACCTGAGCCGAAGGCTCAAGTGAGCTTTCCTGATCACATTTTATACGGCGTCCATCTGTCTAGCTGTCTGTCCGACTGTAAACTTTTCACATTTTCAACTTCTAAAGAACCACTGGGTCAATATTTACAAAGCTTGATTCAAAGCATCCTTGAGTCACTCAAGATAGAAATCGGTGTTATAAGATAAATATCATGCATCTATATAAAGACATATATAACCAAAATGTGTCTGAAATCTACCTTAAAAATATTAATAATATTTAAAATAGGAAGAATAAAAACATGACATTGTCCTTGCATATTAAACAAAAAATTAAAACAATGTAATCTAAAGTAATCATAAGTAATCATGATTACATGAATTACATGATTACATGAATTGTCTGTTATCAGCCTGTAATCGATTACTTTTAATATCCAAAGTAATTGTAATTTAAGATTACTTTTGAACCCCATCCCTGCTTGAGTGATGGGGAATTCAAATTGTCAAAATGAATGTCAAGTCTCCTTACAAGGGAAGATAATCAAGAAAAGATGAAAATAGGGTCTTCCTCTTAAGAACCACTTGGCCAGAAAAGTTGAAACTTATGTGGAAGCATACTGGGGTAGTGTAGATTCTAAATTATTAAATCCATGACCACTAGGGGTAAGATGGGGCCACAATAGGGAATCTTATTTTTATTTATGAATATATAGGAAACATCTTTAAAAATCTTCTTCTCAAGAACCATTGGGCAGAAAACCTGACACTTATGTAGAAGCACCCTTGGGTAGTGTAAATTCTAAATTGCTAAAACCATGACCCCAGGGGGTAGGGCGGAACCACAATAGGGAATCCAAGTTTTACATTGAAATATGTAGGGAAAATCTTTAGAAATCTTTTTCTCAAGAACAAATGGCGAAGAAAAAATAAAACTTAGTATCCTTGGGAAATACCCCTGGGGATACCAAGGGCGGGGTCACAGTAGGGGATCCTGGTTTTACATAGAAATGCGTAGGAAAAATTCTCTAAAAATCAATCTCAAGAATCAACAGGCCATAAAAGCTGAAACTTGTGTTGAAGCATCATGGGGGTAGTGTTAATTCTAAATTGGCGAAATCATGAGACCCGGGGTAGGGCGGGTGATGCCACATTGACACAATAGGGAATCCACGTTTAACATAGAAATATATAGAAAAAAAATTAGAAATTTTCTTTCCAAAAACCACTGAGCCAGTAAAGCTGAAATTTATGTGGAAGCATTCTGGGTAGTGTTGATTCTACATTTTTAAAATCCTGACCCCGGGGAGGGGGGATATGGCCTCAATATGTAATACAAGGGGGGGGGATTCTGGTTGAAAAAAGGCATCTCCAAAGTTACTCAGGTGACTCATGTCGCCCATGGACCTCTTGTTTCATGAGAAAAGACATTACTATTTTTCTGCTACAAAAGTAGTATTTTATTATCTATGTTTTTAAATTTTAAACAAAGGAAATAATTTTTTTTTTTTGACAAAAAATGTTTAATTTTGTCACAACTGACCTCAAATTTTGATGGGTTCTTTAAATTTGTATTAACAACTCAAAACAAATAATATTTTGGATGACCAAGAAGTAACAAGATTCATAATAATTAACAATAAATTTATCGACATATGTACAATAAACATGAAAACGGCCAAAGGTTCAATCATGGTCATCACTGGACAGATTCACACTTCACACCACGTCGCAATGTATGGTTCACCATATTGTCCCTTCGGGTCCATCATATCCTAAAAGTAGCCTCACCACATACACCAATCCTCCCTTCCAGAACAAAAGCTTAATATACAATTTTGGTCACCTACAATTTTCATAGGGTTTTTTAAATAAAATATTCAAAACACACATCTGTTCAATATACTAGATTTTACAAACAAATTACAGAAGAATATATTTTTGCCGTTTAACAAGTAAATGAATTAGAGCATATTAAATATATACATACTCGCTATATTGCTAACAGTTTTCCAAAGAAAATTGCTGTATAAAGCGATCAACAAAAATATTAAAGTGTAAAAACTAACTGAGCTGTGGCATTCTATACATAAAAATCATACTGTTGATCCCCAGGTCTTGCTCTCAACACTGCTACAAAACATCCCTGAATCCCAGGATCACACAGCAGGGGAAACAATACACACCCAAGTTCACACAGCATGGGTAATATAAAAGGCACACCCAAGATTACTAAGCATGGGTAAAGTATAACTCCCGGCGTCCAGACCTCATCTGACAAACACTAGCCAACACCCAGTATAATTAACTGACCAAACTACTCAAACAGGTTAGACGAGTATACAGTGTACATTGATAAAAATAGCTACAAGTACAACTCAGTGACCAATAGTGCGTAAATGAAATAAACGATAACTCCTAATGCCCAAATAAAGATAACTCCTACCGATACCTGTACAATCATCTAATATTAATTATTAAACATTGACATAATGTCACTTGTGACAAATTTCAATCCTTGTTCATAGCCCATGACGTAAATCATACGACCAAAGCAATAATACCAGATAATATTCTGAGACTGATTTAGAAAGATAAGATATAAAAATAACAGATCTAGAGTAATTTATTTTTTTCCTGGAACACCTGTAAAGTGCATTAAAAAAATTTCGAAATTCTAGTGCTTCATGCATGTGTTTTCATTTCTATTCTGAGAACATGACTGTTTTTGTTATAGATCCAGACAGTGATGATATAAATAAAGTGGATGAATTGAAGAAGTTTCTGAGGAATGAGAAAACAACTGTTTCCCATGCCAGAGGAATACTTGTTGGATGTGCTGAGGCTGGAAAAACAACTCTACTGAAGAGGTTAAGAGGAAAACGTCAATCTGTAAATGAAATAACAGACTCCACCAGGGGACTGGAGGTCCATCAACATCTGTTTATTGTTAGAGATAAAGTTTTAGAAGGTAAAAATAATTTCTGATACATATTCATAGTACAAATGACAAACAAGTCACTTTTTAATCAGAAGAAGCCAACTTGAGATTTTAGCTCACCTGAGTTGAAAACTTAAGTGAGCTTTTCTGATCATCCATTGTCCGTCGTTCGTCCATCTGTCCATAAGTAAACATTCCACATTTTCAATTTTGAATCAAGATTCATTAGGCAATTTTTATACGCCCGTCTTAAGACGGGACGTATTATGTTATAGGCTTCGTGTCCGTCTGTCTGTCCGTCCGTCCGTCCGATAGCTTTTCTCGTGTCCGGCTCATAACTTGATTACTATAAGGCATAGAGTTATCAAACTTTGTCAGCTGATACATCTTGGGTAGAAGGTGTGTCGCGCACAAAAAGTAGGTCACTTTGACCTATAATGAAAAAGTTAGAGCCAAATATGGAAAAATCCTGTCCGGTCCATAACTAGAAAACTATTAAACTTAGAATCATCAAACTTGGCCAGTTTATGCATCTTAGGTAGAAGGTGTGTCGCGATTTATTTCAAGGTCACTGTGACCTTTAATTTAAGTGAAATTTTAAAAAAAAATCTCTTTTTTTCTTTTCATTTACACATTCCAAAAAATGTAAAAGTATTACACTATCCTTATTAGAAAAATGTTAAATCAAGAAAATACTTATTTTTTTAGCATATTCTTGACATCAATCTATAACAAATATAATGCATGTTAGAGAAATTCCACTACTCCCATGAGTGTAATTATCAAGCACTGGTCAAGAAGGATTTTGATAAGAGAAAATTGCACATCAAATTAGAGAGAGAAATTAATGAGTTTAGTGTGAGAAGTAGCTGTAAGAGCATTTGTACTATCTATATCCCTTGAGTATTGGGCCAAATGGGTAAGCCTGTTTTCTTAAAAATAGCTCTTTTTGGCTACTTGAGTATTGGGCCAAATGGGTTAAGCCTGTTGGATTAAAAATAGTGTAACGGGTGGGAGGGAGGGACGGACGACAGCGGTCGGTCCTCTACTACTACCACTGGACCCACCGTCTCTCTCTCTCTCACTATCTGTAGGGGCTGTCTTACATACAGTATATATTTCTGCAATGTCAAGTAATTATAACACATATACAAATTCATCTTAACTCTCCTACCATGTCAACAATAATCAGGTTCAATAACTCTGAATAAAACTAATCTGTCAAATCTCTGGACCTTTACACTACCCTCCTCTCAAAATATTTGTGTCCTCACAAATGACTCATGTCAAACAAATGTCAAATTTAACATTAAGGTCAAATGGTTACCTTACAATGTACAATCATCAATATACATGTATTAATAATATGACATAATCTGAAATTAGAACTTTGGCTATAATGTACACATATCAAAACTTTAATTTACAGTCCATCATTCACTTATAATAGAATATCACTAAGCACAGTTTCATTTAACACAATTCCATTTAGCACAGTTCCATTTAACACAATCACACGTGATTCCTGGTCCTTCCCATCAAGGTAGCGTCCCGTCAGATTACGTCTTACCGTCTAGCATCACTGTCTGGTCCATCTCTGCTTGGCTCATCATCATCACCTCGTACCATCATGGTAGTCATCAAAGCTGTAAAACATCTACCTTTGTGTTCTCCTTATGTGGGTCCTCTGTGAACGATGAGGGTCTTGCTCCAACAATGCCCCCTTCTCCTGTCCCCATCATGGCGAGATTCCTAATGATTCCAACGTTAGTTTTCCACTGCACAGGTAAGGCTGTGTGGATGATTTTACCGTTGCCACCATGGACAGTGGATTTCACAGATGGCACTAAGTACAGTCTCTCCACTGGCACAGCACCATAGCCGGTATCCTTCCCTGGGCTTTGAGGTAACATCAATATGTCAGATCCTAAGTCAAACTTCTTAGTTTCGTCTTCAAGTTCTTCATCTCCCTGGACGATCACATTCACCTCTTCCTCAGAGAAGATTTCCATACTGACTTTACTTCCCAAAGCTTCATCATTATTCTCAACAACATTATATGCCATAGACACTGGATATCTAGCAGCAAACTCTTTCAACGGTTCCACTATAAAATCTTTTGACACTTCACGACACTCATCTTCTCTATCGACAAGTGCTGGTTTATCCACAATCATTTCTGATCTGGCTGGAATCTGATAGTCTTCCGCAGTGAGAACTTTCCTCAGTCGGCTGGGATGATGGTTCTGGATGCAAGGAAGGGAACAACCATTCAACAGGATGACACCCTCAATAAGATTAATAATGGCTGGTCCACCTGGACCCTTCATCAGCACATCTAAGCCCAATAACGCTTCATCTTCAATTTCAGCAACCACTAATTCTTCCTCAAACTTCAATTCTCCTAACTCAAACTTGAACTTGTCTTTCCCCACCTCCTTCAGAGGTTGGCCATTTACACTGGTTAACATGTAAGACTTCTCTAAGTGGGGTCGTATATCCTCAGGGATCTTCTTGTAGGCCCGGTCTGATAGCACCGTCCGGATAGCTCCCGTGTTGACTGTGAACATGACCTTCATGCCTTGAATCTTCCCTTTCATGTAGATGCCCTCACTTCTCATGAGTTATCTTGCAATTTGTGTGATACTTTGATCATCAAGGGTGGTTACTCCTGTTGTTTGTGTTGTCTCCTGCATTTTCCTATGACCTTTATCTTTCCCTTCAGTCTGGGTCACTCCCTGGTCAACAGGAGTGACCCTCTCTAGTTTGACGACATGTGGATCAAATTTGGAGAGGAACTTCGTACCAAGGTCACATCTCCACTTCGCTGTATATCGTTGGATCGTTGTTGATTGGTAGTACTAAGGGTACTCTGTTGGAATCTCCCCTCATTGGTATGAGTTTTCTGTTGATTCCTTAGTGGACAGCTCCTAGCAAAGTGTCCATTTTGGCCACAAGCAAAGCAAATTCCATTATTTGCTCTAGTTGTTTGAGGATCTGCTTGTCTCCAGGGTGCTTGTAGATTACCATTGTAAGGTGATCTTAAATTTAAGGCATAAGCGGGATTTTCCCTTGTCCTTGGCCATTGGTTGGAATCAGGTGATCTCTCTCTAGACGGTGTCTGAATCTTAGATCTGATTTGTTCCTCTACCAACTGCTTTACCAGATTTTGAAGATCTCCCTGCTGTATGGTGATGGTCCTTGGAGCACCTGTTTTGGATTTCTGTTGTGCAGACTTCCATCCCGTTGATTGCTTTTCCTGTGGCTGCACTGATTTCTTAACAGGTTTCTGCTTGACTGGAGCATTGACCTGTCTTGTGAGTTTTTAGCTCACCTCAACGAAGTTGGGGGAAGCTTATGTGATACCCTCGGCGTCGGTGTCGGCGTGGGCGTGGGTGTCCCGGGTTAAGGTTAAGTTTTTTGGAGCAGTTTTTATGCCCCGCCATGAATATGGCCGGGGCATATAGTGTTTGTCATGTCCGTCTTCCGTCCTTCTGTCCTTCTGTCCTTCCGTCCTTCCGTCCTTCCGTCTTCCGTCACACTTTGTGTTTAGCTCTGTTCAAAGCTAAGTTTCAAAGAAACTATCAAAGATATTTTCGTCAAACTTCATATGCTGATAGATATTGATGAGAGCTATGGTTCATCTAAGGATGAACACTACCAGACTTGCTTCGGATGCTTGATGTGACCCACATTTTCCAGACAAGTGACCAGGTTAAAGTTTTAGGAGCAGGTCCATTCCTAAGGAACTATATGCCCTACTTGGACCAAACTTACATGGATGATGCATCTTGGGATGGACACTACCAGACTTGCTTCGGATGCTGGATGTGACCTACATTTTCCAGATGAGTGACCAGGTTAAAGTTTTTAGAGCAGGTCCATTCCGAAGGAACTGTAAGCCCTACTTGGACCAAACTTGCATGGATGATGCATTTAGGGATGGACACTACCAGACTTGCTTCGGATGCTGGATGTGACCTACATTTTCCAGATGAGTGACCAGGTTAAAGTTTTTAGAGCAGGTCCAATCGTAAGGAACTATCAGCCCTACTTGGACCAAACTTGCATGGATTATGCATTTAGGGATGGACACTACCAGACTTGCTTCAGATGCTGGATCTGACCTATATTTTCATTCCCAAGTAGCTATAAGCCCTACCTGGACCAAACTTGCATGGATGATGCATCTAGGGATGGACACCACCAAACTTGCTTCGGATGCTGAATCTGACCTATATTTTCATTCCATAGTAACTATAAGCCCTACCTGAACCAAACTTACATGGATGATGCATCTAGGGATGGACACTACCAGACTTGCTTCGGATGCTGAATCTGACATATATTTTCATTCCCAAGTAACTATAAGCCCTACCTGAACCAAATTTACATGGATGATGCATCTAGGGATGGACACTACCAGACTTGCTTCGGATGCTGGATCTGACCTATATTTTCATTCCTTAGTAACTATAAGTCCTACCTGAACCAAACTTGCATGGATGATGCATCTAGGGATGGTCACTACCAGACTTGATTCAGATGCTGGATCTGACCTATATATTTATTCCCAAGTAGCTATAAGCCCTACCTGGACCAAACTTACATGGATGATGCATCTAGGGATGGACACTACCAGACTTGCTTCGGATGCTGAATCTGACATATATTTTCATTCCCAAGTAACTATAAGCCCTACCTGAACCAAATTTACATGGATGATGCATCTAGGGATGGACACTACCAGACTTGCTTCGGATGCTGGATCTGACCTATATTTTCATTCCTTAGTAACTATAAGTCCTACCTGAACCAAACTTGCATGGATGATGCATCTAGGGATGGTCACTACCAGACTTGATTCAGATGCTGGATCTGACCTATATATTTATTCCCAAGTAGCTATAAGCCCTACCTGGACCAAACTTGCATGGATGATGCCTCTAGGGATGGACACCACCAAACTTGCTTCGGATGCTGAATTTGACCTATATTTTCATTCCTTAGTAACTATAAGTCCTACCTGAACCAAACTTACATGGATGATGCATCTAAGGATGGACAATTCCAGACTTGCT